GATGACTTGGCCCAACTGTCTTTGAAGAATATTCTCAACAACCTGTCAAAAGGAGCCCTTCAGTGGTTCATTAGTGCACATCTTTGAAAGTGGTGTTCTCTGGCCAACTGAGAGTAGCTGTTCTGTTCCCTACCTATTTTTCCATGGGTTCAGATGAAATTTTTAGTATGGCAAGTCAAATTCCATATTGCCTAGTCTTTAGTCAGATGAGCTACCTAGGAAATATTTAAGCAGTTGAAAGCATCACTTCTGTATGTGTGTCTGTGCCAGTTTTGTGATCTTTATCAGAAATGTATTAACGTTGCACCATATGGCCCAAAGGTCTTAAGATGTAACTGCTGTTCCTTTCTGCTTTTAGCCTCATTGCATCTTCTTTCCAAAATGCTTCCACCCTCATGTTTCTAAATATCACCCAGGTGTCTGTTTTTAAAAACTTTTTTAATTACAAAAGTAATAGAGATTGATTGCAAAAGATCTGAAGTACAGAAAAGCACAGAAGAAAATTCTCCTTTACTTTAATCACCCAGAAAAGTTGACTTTTTCTCTTTTCTTTTTTTTAAATAAAATGAGAATCAAGCCAGGTCTGTGACTTGCTTTTTTAGTCATAATTATGAATTAGGAACATCCCACATTATTAAATATTATAATGGAATATAATTTTAATGCAGCATTATAGATATGCAATAATTTTTTAAAAATTTGTAACCCAGGTTGGGGATTTAGGCTGTTTCTAGTTTTTGCTGTTAGAAATAACCTTACTGATGAAAATCTTGCTCAAATTTGCACATACCTCCATTACTCCACAGGGTAAAATCATAGAGGAGCAGTCACTGCATCTAAAGGAATGTGTACATTTATAGATTATCATATGTGTAGTTAGGTTGTCCTCCATAAACGCTGTTTCAGTTAACACATAAGATGCGTGTGAATGTGCTTCTTTCCTTGTACCTTTGCTAATACTCAGTGTAAATGGACATTTCTTCAGAGAACCCTCCCCTGACCTCTCCCTCTCCAAACAGCTGTCTGTTAGATCTCAGCATTGCTTTCCTGACACCTTCAGGCGTGTTATCCTTTCATGACACTCCGTAGGTTTTTCATAAGGTATTTCATAGTTGTAATCCTGTATGATTATTTCATGTTGGTTTCCCAGCACTAGACTGCAAGTTTCACAAGGACAGTGATCACATCCAGTTGATTTACCCCTGTGTATTCAATGCTGAATACAGTGTGATACACATAGAATGTGTTCAGTACATATTTGTTGAATGAATAAGTGGGCATTATTGTAAAAATAATTTTCTAATTTGACAGGCAAATAACTATATCTGAGTATTAATGTTTGTTTATTAGAGGTTGAACTTTATGCTTTTATTGGCTAGTTAGTGTTTATTTTTATCAATTGCTTATTCTTGTCTTTCTCCATTTTCTTTTTGATTCAAAGAATCATGAATCTTTTTGATTCAAATCTCTTCTCTGGTCCTGTAGGCTCCTGTGTGAATATAGCGTAAACATTTATTTTTGTTGCTGTTGTTACTTTCCATCTTTATTTATGCCTCTATATTATAATCTTTTGTTCCCTTGATTTATTACCCATTCTTTGTGTTTGGTATGTAGGCACCTGCGACTGAAGCATTGTTGAAATCAAGGTCCCCTCTTGATTACTTTGCTCATGTTAGTCACTGCCTCCCACTCTTAATTCCCCCCCCCCACATTATAACTTCTACCCTCTGCTTACAGATATTCTCAAGATTACTTGGACTTTAAAAAATCTCCCTCACCCTGTTCAGTTTAAAGTCAGCTTAATTTAGTCATCTAGCTTGAGGCAAAAAATGTTTTTTTTTCCTTATCTTCTTAAGAAGCATTCTGTTCCTAGCTAAGAGCCCATCACTATGACGTCTTAACCCAGGCTTGGTAAATATTTTCTCTAAAGGGCCACATAGTAAGTATTTGAGGCTTTGAGGGCCAAATGGTCTGTGTTGTAACTACCCAGCTCAGCCCTCATAGTGCTAAAGCAACCTTGGACAACATGTTAATGAGTGAGTGTGGTCATGTTCCAATAAAATTTATTTATGGATACTGACATTTGGATTTCATATGATTTTCATGTGTCATTAAAAATTTGTTCTTATTTTTTTCCTCAACCATTTAAAAATGTTGAAGCCATTCTTAGCTCGTGGCCTGTGCAAAGACAGATGGTGGACCAGATTGGACCCACAGGGCACAGTTTGCTGACCATGTCGCAAGCCATGCTCCATAGAGACAACTCATGTTTGTAACCGCCACTCCTGCCACTTACCTCCCAGACTCTTGGAATTGATTAAAAACAAACAACTGAACAAAAATCTGCTTCACTATTCCAAGGTCCTTTAGCTTTCTGCATAAAATTTGAGGTCTTTGAGGCAGTTTCCTTGGT